CCGTCCCCCCGCCACCCCTTGACCTCTGCCTGAAAAAGGGGGAGTTCTCCCTCTACCCAGCGGGGCACTACCAGACGCCCTTGGGGTACGAGCGGATAACAACCTTTGACAGCAGCGGGAATGTGGAGGAGGTATGCCGGCCTCGCACTAGGATGCTCTGTGCCCAGAGCACCTACACCCTGCCGGGGCCCGGCAGCTCCGCCACCTTGCGCATCACCGCCGCTGAGAAGAAGATGCAGCAGCCCTGCACCAGCGCCACTTTGAACCGGCTCACGGTCCCTCGTTACTCCATCCCAACTGGGGACCCGCCACCCTACCCCGACATCGCCAGCCAGCTGTCCCAGGGCAGAGGCATCACACAGAGACTGGACAGCAGTATCATTCATGCAACTCTGCGGAGGAACAGCAGAGAGGCAGCCCTGAAAATGGCTCAGCTGGTGGACAGTCAGAGAGCCACCTTGCAACTTCCGCCAAAGGCCAAGAGCAGCATTGTGACAGCACAGTACCAGCAGAGAGTACCCACTGCCTTGTACACCTGCAGCCAATGCAGCAGCAGTAGCAGCAACAGCAACGCGAGCGCTGGTGGCCTGGGCAGCATCACTAGTCCCAATGCTAGTAGCAGCACTTCCAGTATTGGTGGCATGAGACCTGATCTGAGCACAGGGAGTGGCTCCCAGCACAGCTCCGTCATCGCTCACTCTGTCAGTACTTCGCCTCTGGCCTCCCAGTCCTCCTACAGCTTACTGAGCCCACCTGACAATTCCCGTGACCGAGCGGATTATATCAACTCCGCCTTCACGGAGGATGAGGGCCTTTCTCAGCACTGCACGGTGGAGAAATCAATACGACATGTACCTGTGTCTTTGACAGAGGCTGCCCTTGGTGTAAAACGTCCACCACCGTACCAGTGGGACCCTATGGTGAGCGAAGAGATATGGGTTCCTCAGGAAAGGACATCTCAGAGCTCAGTGCCCAACCCTCTAAAACCTACTCCTCTCATAATTGGTCAAGCTCAACATCTGGATATGTCTCGAGTGCCGTTTGTTTCCCCCAAGTCTCCAACCAGTCCCACTGCCACTTTCCAGACGAGTTATGGGGTTGGAGTACCTTACCCAGGAAGCTACAATGCCCCTCCCGTTCAGGGAATGCAGCCCCCCTGCTCCCCCAAAGAAGCTCTGGCCCCAACGCAGTTTGCACAGCAGGAGCCCACAGTTGTGCTTCAGCCAGGTTATCCATCCAACCTCTCCTATTGCCCTTTGCCACCCATGTACCCGGGAAGTAGCGCCTGCTCTAGTTTACAGCTGCCACCAATCGCCTTGCACCCGTGGAGCTCCTACAGCACTTGTCCACCCGTACAGAACCCCCAGGGCACATTGCCCCCCAAGCCGCTCCTTGTCGTGGAGAAGCCGGTGATGTCTCCCCCGCCAGCAGAGCTGCAGGGCCATGTGGGCACAGAGGTAATGGTGGAGACAGCAGATACCTTCCAGGAGGTGCTCTCCTTGACGGAAAGCCCTGTTCCTCAAAGGACAGACAAATTCGGCAAGAAGAGCCGCAAGCGCCTGGACAGTCGAGCTGAGGAAGGAAACGTGCAGGCTATCACCGAGGGCAAGGTCAAAAAGGAGGCAAGGACGCTGACTGACTTCAATTCACTAATATCCAGCCCTCGGCTGGGGAGGGAGAAGAAGAAAGTCAAGAGCCAGAAAGACCAGCTGAAGTCCAAGAAGCTGAACAAGACCAATGAATTTCAGGACAGTTCGGAGAGTGAGCCAGAGCTTTTTATCAGCGGGGATGAGCTGATGAACCAGAGCCAGGGCAGCAAAAAGGGTTGGAAAACCAAAAGGAGTTTGAGGACAGCCAGCGAGCTGGATGAATTCAAGTGCCGGAAGGCCAGTGAGAAGGAGGACGGGAGGCTGGGGAGCCAGGGCTTTGTGTACGTGATGGCCAACAAGCAGCCGCTGTGGAACGAGGCGACACAAGTCTACCAGCTGGACTTTGGAGGGCGGGTGACCCAGGAGTCAGCAAAAAACTTCCAGATTGAGCTGGAAGGACGACAGGTAAGAGCGGGCAGCACACGTGGGCCAGCGACTGGGGGTGGGAAAGCTGTGCCAGAAATAAGCTCTGCCTCTCCTGTGGCCAACTGCCTCCCACTTGTGTTAGCTGCTCCATGAAAAAAAGCTTTGCCATGTGGTTGATAAAAAACAACTGTCAAAGGTATAGATTCAGAATGGAGGGTGAAGTTCAGTTGTAAAGTAAATGTACAAAATATGTTTGGTCCAGTTGGATATGGGAATAAGGGCCTCCTTTAGTCTCACTGGCTCTCACTGCTGAAGGTGGGTTTTGTAATAAACACAACAGATCTCCCCAACAGTAGCTGCATTCGCCATCGGTGGTTGTGGATGGCAGCTAGCTGAGTGAACGCTGCTCCCTTCTTGTGATGCTCACAAGGGTTAGCCAGTCAGCAGATAGCTAAGGCAGAGACGATGGGCAGGCAGTTAGGTTCCCTCCATGCTGAAATTTCCCCTTGTGGGTTACCAGGCCTCTGGGGCTGGTTCTTGATGCTAGAGGAGGGAGGTGCTGACCATCCCCAGAACAAAGTACTCCTGGGCCGCTTCTGAACTGCCTGTGGGTAGTTCAAAAAATCAAAGCATTTAATTTAGGGTCTCTCACCGCGGCCCAAGTGCGATGTTACTACACCAAACGCAGGCTATTAAGTGGTACCAAACAGCAGGACACTGGACTGAGATCCAGGAGACACACTTATTTCCTTATCCAGCTGTCCCATCTCTGTAAGTCACTTCTGATTTATTGAAGACATCAAGGCTCTCAATTCCCTCTGATTTAACTTGGGAGTTAGATGTCTTAAATATCCAATATGCATGACCATTGGTAGTCTCTTGGGTTTGTTTGTGTGTAACAACAGCTCATTAAAAAGGCAGTGATCAGAGCCGTATATACCCCTTCTTCAGTTAAATGGCTGTGGATATGTGCCCCTGGACAGCTGTGAAAATCCCCTGGCCATAGGTTTTGTTGGTGGGGGAACAAAGCCTGACTCTGCTTGCACAGCTAGCCTCCATCCTTGCTCAAGGATCTTCACTGAAGAGCAGATAGGATCTGGGCTTCTGATTAAGTGAATGAAAAAGCAGTAATAATAGGCCAAACTTCGGATATTCCCTGTGGAAGAGCAACGAACAACCTGACTCGCCTTGCTTTACATTTCAAACAGCTCCCGCTGCCCCCTTTGCTAATTATTCTCAGTGTAATTATGTGCTAGTGAAGTTTATGCAAAGGAAAACAGAACTGCCAAGAGCATACAGCTTACCGGCTATGAAGAGCTAGAGTCAGGAGACTGGTTACTCCCCTTCCCTGAAAGCTCCTTTATCTGAAAACAAAATCTGTTTTCCTGATGGGCTGATGATAGAATCTCTCCAAGGGAGAGAATGGTATTTTCCTGCAGGAAGCATGGTGCTGGTGTAACCCACAGCTGCTGAAGTAATTGGTGACGATCTACTGACACCAATGCTGCATACAGTCTACCATGTTTTAAAGCTCAGTTTACTCTATGGTCAAGTATCTCAGTCAAATACTCTATACAGACAAATAATACATTGCTCTTATTCTTCTTCGGCATCGTACCCCATACTGTGAGTAGCTCCATCCATATTGGCTCAGGAGGTGAGATGTTCTTAAAAAGGAGCAAACCCATTTCGCTTTTGTTATTCTCTGGTTCCTTCTCTGTGGTTCACTTTTTTTGACCTTGTTCTCTTTTTCCTTCCCTTCTCCTTTTCCCCTACTTCCCAGGTGATGCAGTTTGGGAGGATTGATGGCAATGCTTACATTTTGGACTTTCAGTATCCATTTTCTGCAGTGCAAGCCTTTGCTGTTGCTCTGGCTAATGTGACTCAGCGCCTCAAATGAACAAGCAGAGACTGGAGAGAGGAAAATGTTACCCTTCTCATAAAGTCCAAACCAGAAAATGTCGGGGCAGCCTGCTTTAGGTGTGCAGAGGTGCCTGGGAGCGAAGAAGGCAGTAAAACTGGAAAAGTCTCTTGGTGCCCAACAGAAGGGCATTAACTCTAATCAGTCATGGGGTGGAGGGTGGGGGGCTGTTTTCTGTTTTGTTTGTTTGTTTGTTTGTTTTCAGGTGTTTATTTTTTTTTTTAAGCGTTGTGCTGGGTCTCAGAAAGAGTGAAGGGTTGAGAGCCATTCAGTGTTACGTGGAGAAGTGTGGCTTTTGGCTTGTTGTGGTGGTTCTGCCATGTTTGCTACAGTAGCTGATGTAAGCTCATAGGGGGATTAAAAAAGACTGCTCTTTTTGATAGACTGCCTTATATCATGCTGTTCTTTTCAAAACAGGGAACATAACTTTTTTTCTGGTCCAGTTTGTACTACTACTACTACTACTATTACTACTACTACTACTACTACATCAGTGATAGCAGCAAAAAAGAAAAAAACGAAGCTATAATACTTGAAGACACATGTTTCTTCTCTGATCTCTGATAATAACTGAGCACCACAAGTTCCAAGGAGGCTTGTGTAGGTCAATGTTTAATTTATAAATAATGGTGTATTATTCAGAAGAGAAACAGTTATTACCAATGGGTGGTTTAAAACCCCACTGTCTCAAAGAAGTTGATGTCTGCTTGTTTTGTGTGCTGTTATTGGGGATAAACATCTTTCAGTAGGTGACAGAAGATAGAGGAGGAAATAATTACGAGCATTGCTTCTTTTGTTATTGGGGATAAACATCTTTCAGTAGGTGACAGAAAATAGGGGAGGAAATAATTATGAGTGTTGCTTCTTTGCTCGTTATTGATCAGCAGTATTCTCCAATTTGGCCTGTAGTTGGGAGAGGTGCAGTGTCACCAGGTGTACCTCCAAGGCCATGCCTGTACATGCTCGTCATTTAAATGTGTTTACACTTTATAAGCAAAGTATTTCAAGCGAATGAGAAGGCCCAGTGTATTCAGTCTTCTTAGCAATCAGTATGAAAGAAGTTCTACAACAGTGTATCAGTGCTTTACTTAGGAAGGAGACAGTAGTATAGCAAGTCATTACAAGAAGCAATTTCATCAGGAAAGCAATTTCTTTACAGGAAACAACATCATGGCTGGCTGGAGAACAAAAGAGTTGAAAGAGGAAGGAAAAATTGGACAGAGTCATCCCTTTTATCACCTTGCTACTTGAGTAGTCTTTGTGACTGTGGTTTGAGAATATAATGCTCCAGATAGGAGCGGGAGGCCAAAGCTTGCATGGAGTGTTTTAGAGGAAGGCTTAATAATTCTAGCATGACTCTCTGTCTGCAGTTCTTTCTGGTGGACATGCAGACCTGTTGAGCATTTTGGAAGGGTTGCTTGCACAGAAGAGTTTCTGTGTCATCCATGTGTTGTGCACATATTTATTTGCTTTCTGTTTCCTCCTTGCCTGCATTTTGCTACGGAATATGTTTTTATATGGAAGTAGTTTCCCCAGTAATACACACAATCCAAAAATATTAATGTAATTATTTGGACATTAGATTACAAAACGTAACTGCAGATTTCCTTCAGAAATTACTCTTTTGAAGCAAAAGGCACACTGAGAAAGATGTGTTGGCTGAAGTGTCAATGGCTGCTTTGTCTTTGTCTTTCATCCACAGTTTAACTTCTTACTTTAATAACTCTGTATAACTGAAGATGAATAGGTGTGATTTTCTCCCTTTGGTTTTCTTAAATCCTGGTGGTAGGGCAGATGTGTGTTGCACTTGATTCATTCTGGAGGAACATACCACATAAGGTAAGAAGACCCTGCTGTAGTGGAAGTTACCGACATGCAGTGAGCTTATAACTTCTGCTGTGCTGAGGCTTCTAGAGCTGTGCAGCACAGAGGGAGTAATGCCAGAGAGAAGTTTCAGAGTCGCCAAGGGAGATGATGAGGCAGATCATCCACAGACAACGTTCCGCAGTGTAAGTCCAGGAAAAACCACCTGCAAGATGGTTTCCTCGGAGAGAGGAAGCAGAGGTAGGAAGGAAGGAAGGAGGGGGGAAGTAGATGGTGCCATGCCTGTATTATCCCAAAGTTCAGCAGCTCCTGCTTGCATGTCGGAGTGGTCAGGCCCAACATTCCCCTTGGCACCTAGCAGGTTGTTGTTTGCTTTAATTAATTAATTTTGTTGAATTTCCATCAGTTGTCTGGGCCCATTTATATTCTTACTCACATGCATGATTTATTCAGCAGTTTGAATGCCTGTTTGTATTACGTGTGTGGAACATAGGAACCGAAACAGATTTGTTTCTGATCCCTTTAAAATCAGTGGAAGTGTTTCCTTTGGATTTTTGCAGAGGAAGCACTATTAAGCCAGTTATCTATATTGAGTTATATGCTGTACAAACAGTAGGCTGAATTCTCAGTCCACTGATTCCAAGACACAAGGAGGAAAGTTGGCTGATGAGAGTCCTCACCTGCCCTAAGGTCAGTGCTAAGCAGCCATACCCTAATTAGAGTATTACAGGCACACACTGAACACCGTAAGAGAAGAAACATACCATGGCTTGCTTGCTTGCTTGCTGAGGGACGGGCCACTCAGTCACATGTTAGAAATCTTCAGCTGGAAGGAACATCACCTGTAGTTTTAAGCCAAAATTCTTGTCACGTGGAAACAACGTGAATGTTTTTTCTGAACAAAATCTAATCTGACCAGAAGGACTTCTGCGTGCAGTTTTTTGAACCTTCCAGGGAACAGTATTCCTCTTCGCTTGATTCATTGCCAAGTTTTTCCAATTATCAGCAGTTTCATGCTAATGGAGAACCAAGAAATGAAACCAAATACAAGTAGCAGTTAGTAATTTGGTTTTACTGGCCCAGGGTATGTTTGTGTCCTTCTGGTGGCACTTACAAAGAGCCTTGGCATAGAAGAGACCTAGTTTCTGCCCCAGCAAAGCACAAGGAATAATTATAATAAATTAGGAAAATAAATGCAATTTCCAACATCCTTCCCATTTACTTGTCAGAAAATGCTATAGAGTAAGATAATCTTTTATCTTTTTGAAAATAATCTAACAGAGTCCCTTTAACTAAGGATTTTAATGGCGTAGAGAATACCCAGTATTAGAGGGAGAAAATGCGCTCACATATATAGAACTTTAATGAAAGGAATGGGAATGATATAAATGTCTGAGTGTGCAACTGGATCCTAATTTATCAAGTGATAGTGACAGTTGGTTGGGGGTTTTTTTCATACAATACAGGAAACAAATTTAAAAGTCGTCCCCCCCACACACACACATAATCACTTAAAACCTGAAGATTGCTGTTGCATTCAGCCAAAAGATAGATGTTACATTTTATATTTCATTAGTAAAACCCAGGTTTTCTGTAGATAACTAAGTTCTTCTAGGAAGAATGTAGCAAAGTGTTCAGAAATACCTAGTTCTTTTATACATACAGTGATTTCCAGTAGTTAAGTATGTTTTTCCAAAGTTTTTTTTTTTTTTAGTTGTGCAATATTTGTGACAGTCTAGGGCTTTTATGGGGGTTTTGTTGGGATTTTTTTGTTGGGTTTGTTTTAGGGGTTTTTTTTGAGGGAGTTTTGAGTGGTTTTTTTAAAGATAATTTAATGCAGATTTCCTGTTAATGTCCAAAAGACAAATTATTTATCTTGTGTAATGTAATAAGTGATTTAGGGATTATTTTATTACTATGTATCAGTGAGTTATACACACTTTCTTATTTATATTTAAAGAGCATCTTTGTAAGTAATTGTTTGCTAGCAGTATGTTTTGCTGCAAGAAGTTAAAAATACCTGTAGGAAGACCTGTTTTTGCTGGATAGTATGCAAAATTTCATAATGCAGGCAGGTAAAAATATTTTTTTGGCAGCTGAACGCAGTGAGTTTGCTACGGAGGACTGTGTAGACTACAAAGAGTATAGATGACTTCTTTGGGACCTGCAGAAATCTGTCCTTCTCCACTGTTTTCCTCCTGTGTTTCTAACTATATATTTCAGTTGGGAGTGGTTTTAAAAATAAGGCTTGATTTGCTTTCCCTCTTCTTATTACAGTGCTTTTTCTTGAGATACAAAGTAAGGTGGCTTATGTGATAAAAGAGGGTATAAGGATATAGGCTCAGTTTGTAAAAAGTTAATTGCATAGCTTAGTAGGGTTTGGCAATGGCGTAATTCCATGCTATGCAGAGATAGAAGCAAACTAACTTGAAATAAGCTAACTGAGGCACAGGAAATAGCATAGCAGTAGATACATTTTCCTCAGCTCAGACTAATAACTGTCCTTCTTCAGCTGGGCTCAGCTGATTCCAAGACAGCCGTCAGTGCTTCTGATACCTGAGCCAGTGCTGCACAGCGCTGATGGAGCTGAGCCCTGATGCTGCCTGCAGCAGCTTTGCCTCTTCGAGATGCTCCATGGGAGACCTGATGGGGCAGACGTTCCTCCGCTTCTCCTTCTAGGTCTGCTCCAAGAGCAGCATGCAGCTCCCGCGGGGTTTGGGCTGCAGCAGCTTTGGGCAGAGAAAGGCCCGATGCCAGCCAGTGGCCATGGTGGCCATTTGCAGTCAGAATCTGCTCCACTGGAGTTGCAAAGGGATGCGGCAGAGAACCTGATTCTTTTGTAAAAATATGGCTGATATCCTCAAAATATAGCTCCTAACAGAGTCTAAAAATCGATACTTAAACTCTGGTATGAAGTTCACCATGCATGGATTGGCAAATTTTAGCTTGAAACAATGAGATCATGATGTTTCTGCAACACCCTAAGAAACTATGAGAAGGAGGGGTGTGAAAGAGGAAAAAAAGGAATTATCACATTAATGATTTTGCACTCAGATCCAGAGATAGCAGTAACATGTGCCATGGGCTGCCTGAATATTGCTTGTATGACAGTAAATCTGTACACGGGTTCATCTCAGTTAGATAAACTGTCTGTGATGCAAGCACAAGTAAAACAGTTCCACGTTTCTCTCTTCAGTTTTGTTACACTGTTTTTATGAAGATGCATGAAGGTGTACAGTTGTCATAAAAAGACATCTGACTTTGCTGAAGCCTTGAGCCTAGACTCTCCATAGGTTCAGGCTTACCTTGATGTGTCTTTTTAGTGTCCTTTCAGAA